GTATTTAACATGGCGATGTCCTAGGAAGTGTCAATTGCCCCCCGCTGCATCCCTTTTTCGATAGTTCCGAACTAGTCCTAAATTCTATAGTTCCGAACCAGTTCTAAAACAGACAGACGAAAGAAAAAAGTACCATGGTTTTTCAATCTTTTCGGTTCTTCCGTGTGCGATTTTACATTATTTTCAAAGAAACGTTTTTTCAATTTGAAATTAAATTTGTTTGAATGATTGTAAGAAATGTACGTTTACATACCTTGCTGCAGCTGACTTTGCAGAGGTGCTCGCTGTTATTGGTTAGATTCCAGACGGCCCCAAGATGTTAATATGTTAACACAAAGCTTTGTTTTGTATTACCAAACTATGAAATAGCATCTGCGAAGTACAGCATAGAAGCATATTTGAACGAGAAAGCCGCCGAACACATATCTATGTAAAGTAAACAAGCCCCCCGCTGCATCCCTTATTCGATAGTTCCGAAATAGTTCTAAATTCGACAAATAGGATCTAGTTCGTTCTGCATCCCTTTTTCTATAGTTCCGAACCATTTCTAAATTCGTCACTTTAGATATAGATTTGTAATGAAAAAAACTGAAAAAATTAGTTTCTTAAAAGTACCACTTTTCGCCGATTTTGGACTGGTGGGGATCTAGTTCCTATCGGACTAGTTCCTTTTTGGCAATAAAGACCTAGTACGGAACTAGAAATTTGATTCACTAGTCCACGGTTTCCCTGCAGGGCATGTACACAACACATATACAAAAACAGCACTCAAGTACACAATACATTGACAAAAACGGTACTATACTGTCTCTCTTGGATTTCGGAATGCTTACACATTGAGAAGTTAGCTTACTGCCAATATAGAAGTACTAGTGAACCCGCATGGCGTCAAAGCGCCAACATTTAAATAAATTTTTTAAACAGGTGAAACCTATTCAAAAACCTCTAAAAATATTCCTAATGATTAATCTAACCTTTTCTGAGTGATGAGAGGTCTCGCATTGTGTTGGTTTTCATGTAACTTCAAAAAATAAAACCTGTGCACATCTATGTAGAATCCCAGTTCTTTAACTTGGCTTCTCATTTTGGAAATTCGAAATAACGTTGCAGATGTGATGATCTTCAAAAAAAAAATAATAATAGATGGCAATTCTAATTAAAAATATCATCAGCCTATAGTTTCCTTAAAACTCTTTCGTTTGATACTAATATTTCGATAATTCAATTACGTATCTTTCGTATAAGTAAAACAAATTTGAATTTTCAAACAGGTGGCCATCTCTTTAAAGGTATTTTGAAACAAAAATCTTTCGCCTGGCATTGTTATACATATTTCAATTTACTGATGAATTAAGTTGAATTTAGTTTTTTTAAACACATGGCAATTCTCGTAAATACTATTTTCAAACCCATTTCGATTGATACCCATCTTTTGAAAATCCATTCAACTTATTAAATAATTTGAGCTTAATTTTTTCATCAAAAAAAAAAAACCAAATGTTCAACTTAAAGATTTCTTAACACTCGTTCTTTTCATAACCATATTTTAAAATTTCATGTAACTTATGTATAATTAAACAAAATACCACTTTAAAAACAGGCGGAAACCCTCTTAAAAATTATTTTCGAACTAAAATTTCCTTAAATACTTTTCGCCTGACATTGTTATAAATATTTCAAGTATCTGATGAATTAAGTGGAAATTAATTTTTTAAACACGTGGCAATCCTCCTAAACATAGTTCTTAAATAAAGGATTTTAAACCCATTTCCGTTGATTACCATCGGTTAGTAATTCATTTAACTTATTAAATAATTTTAGTTTAGGCCCTTAAGCTGGGCAACTTTCAAGCGCATCAAAAATGTTCTAAATTGTCAAACTAAGTATTTCTTGAAGCTCTTTCATTTGACATCCATCGTTAATATTTCATATAACTTGGGTATAAAATAGTTCAATTAGACTTCTCAAATAGGTGGCAAACCTATTCAAAATATTTACAAACTACTACCTTCTTAAACCTCTTTTTTATGACACCCATTTAGCGACACCTTATTTACGTACCAAATTCCTTTAACTAAAATCTAATTAAATTTTTTTTAACATGTGGCAACCCTCCTATACGTAGTTAAGTTATAAAGCCTTTCCAAAACCATTTTGATTGACACCCATATTTAATAATTGATTTAACTTTTTAATTAATTTGAGCTTAATTTCTCTACAGGTGGCAACTTTTTTCTAAAAAGTAAAACCTTTTTGAACATCCACACCCTAAGCCCTTTAATTTGGCACCTCACTTTTGAAAATCGAACGGACGGTGCGGATCTGAGGGCATTGATTAGTAAATAACTTGAGTTTAATTATTTAACAGGTGGCAACATCTTTCGAAAAAATAAAACCGGTTTGCACATCTAGCCAAGCGCTTTAATTTGGCACCCCATTTTTGAAAATCGAGCTAACGATGCAGATCTTTTATGCTGCACAAAAAATTAGTTCGCGTATTATATATATAGATTATAGACTAACAGGCTAACCTAATATTCACGCACGCCGCCAATTTATTGTCAAAAATTTCTCATGCACATGCAACTTGTATGAGATCAACCGAAATTGAACGGCGTGCGTATGAAGCTAACTGAATTTCCAATTTTTGTTCTGCGTGACATTTTGATTTGACGTTGCGCTCAATGAAATCAAATGCAAACGCATGCAAGTCAATTTCGGGTGACGCAAAAAAACAAATTCGACGGCATGCGTACCAAAACGTAAGCCGCGAATATTAGGTTAGCCTGATAGATACCTATTTTAATTACCCCATTGTCTTAATTCAAATTGAATTTGATTGTTTAAATAGGTGGCAACCCTCCTACACGCAGTTAAGAAATAAAGTAAATTCAAACTAATGCGATTGGTACCCAATTAGTAAATATTGATTTAACTATTTAAATAATTTGAACTTAATTTTTAAACAGGTGGCAGCCCTCTTCAAACACTTTAAAAATATTCTAAACGTTCCAACTAAAGATCTCTTAAGATTCATTCGCTTGACGTCCATATTTTTATACTTCACATAAATATACATGTTTGTATTACCTAATTCCCCTAATTCAAATTGAATTTGATTTTTTTAACAGGTGGCAACCCTCATCAAGTTAAGTTAAGAAATAAATATTTTCAAAACANACTTGGGTATAAAATAGTTCAATTAGACTTCTCAAATAGGTGGCAAACCTATTCAAAATATTTACAAACTACTACCTTCTTAAACCTCTTTTTTATGACACCCATTTAGCGACACCTTATTTACGTACCAAATTCCTTTAACTAAAATCNTTTTTAAACAGGTGGCAGCCCTCTTCAAACACTTTAAAAATATTCTAAACGTTCCAACTAAAGATCTCTTAAGATTCATTCGCTTGACGTCCATATTTTTATACTTCACATAAATATACATGTTTGTATTACCTAATTCCCCTAATTCAAATTGAATTTGATTTTTTTAACAGGTGGCAACCCTCATCAAGTTAAGTTAAGAAATAAATATTTTCAAAACAATTTCCATTTATGCCCATTTTGTAATAATTGGTTTAGCTTTTAAAATAATTTGATCTTAATTTTTTAAAAGGTGGCAACTTTTTTCGAAAAAGCAAAACCTTTTTGAATATCCACACCCTAAGCCCTTTCATTTGGTAGCCCACTTTTGAAAATCAAACGGACGGTGCGGATCTGAGGGCATTTATTAGTAAATAACTTGAGTTTAATTATTTAACAGGTGGCAACATCTTTCGAAAAAATAAAACCAGTTTGCACATCTAGCCAAGCGCTTTAATTTGGCACCCCATTTTTGAAAATCGAGCTAACGATGCAGATCTTTTATGCTGCACAAAAAATTAGTTCGCGTATTATATATATAGATTATAGACTAACAGGCTAACCTAATATTCACGCACGCCGCCAATTTATTGTCAAAAATTTCTCATGCACATGCAACTTGTATGAGATCAACCGAAATTGAACGGCGTGCGTATGAAGCTAACTCAATTTCCAATTTTTGTTCTGCGTGACATTTTGATTTGACGTTGCGCTCAATGAAATCAAATGCAAACGCATGCAAGTCAATTTCGGGTGACGCAAAAAAACAAATTCGACGGCATGCGTACCAAAACGTAAGCCGCGAATATTAGGTTAGCCTGATAGATACCTATTTTAATTACCCCATTGTCTTAATTCAAATTGAATTTGATTGTTTAAATAGGTGGCAACCCTCCTACACGCAGTTAAGAAATAAAGTAAATTCAAACTAATGCGATTGGTACCCAATTAGTAAATATTGATTTAACTATTTAAATAATTTGAACTTAATTTTTAAACAGGTGGCAGCCCTCTTCAAACACTTTAAAAATATTCTAAACGTTCCAACTAAAGATCTCTTAAGATTCATTCGCTTGACGTCCATATTTTTATACTTCACATAAATATACATGTTTGTATTACCTAATTCCCCTAATTCAAATTGAATTTGATTTTTTTAACAGGTGGCAACCCTCATCAAGTTAAGTTAAGAAATAAATATTTTCAAAACAATTTCCATTTATGCCCATTTTGTAATAATTGGTTTAGCTTTTAAAATAATTTGATCTTAATTTTTTAAAAGGTGGCAACTTTTTTCGAAAAAGCAAAACCTTTTTGAATATCCACACCCTAAGCCCTTTCATTTGGTAGCCCACTTTTGAAAATCAAACGGACGGTGCGGATCTGAGGGCATTTATTAGTAAATAACTTGAGTTTAATTATTTAACAGGTGGCAACTCTTTTCGAAAAAATAAAACCTTATTGCACATCTGCAGGCTAAGGGCTTTAATTTGACACCCCAATTTTGAAAATCGAGCGAACGGTGCAGATGTTTTAGGCTGCACAAAAAATGCCTTCGCGTATTATATATAATAGATAGATTACACATATGGCTTACACCAAACCATCTGCTTTTAGTAAGCTCAAACGGCATGAAGCCGCTTGTTATCTACGACGATGATGCGGTTGTGCTGAAGTCCAGTTGGCTTCGATCTCAACAGTTTGCAGACAAATTTTGGCGCAAGTGGGTGGCTGAATATTTACCAACTTTAACTTGTAGAACAAAATGGCACAAGGAAGCTAAGCCTCTTCGTGAAGGCGATTTGGTGATTATAGTAGACTCTACACTTCATCGAAATGTGTGGCCTAGGGGTAAAGTGGTTGACGGTTTTAACTTCGCGTGGATTGTTGGAGAGGCCAGCGGTCAAGATCGCAGTATTAGACGTGGCTGCAGTAAAGGAGTAAGCCTTCGTTTAACACCTCGTTGTACTGTGGGAGGGTGTTACCGCCACTGTACTCTGACTCGCTGAAATGCTTATAACTCGCTATAATAAACTTGTAATTGTTAAGCCGAACTCTTTTTGTATGGTCTATTACAATTGTAAGAAAGCGATATATATTTTGTACTGACAATGTCATTAGAGTCATAAAACCATGTGGTGGTTCTATAGAAATCATTGTTCGAAGAGAATTTTAAGCGACAAGTCTCGTAGTTTCAAGATACAAGCTTAACCTAAACTGGAATAAGTTAAATACTTTACGCTTGGATTAAGACTTAAATGAATTTTATTACGTACGGCTATAAGCGACGTGATCATTAAATACTTGGATAATCACACAAAAACTAAGCTGATTTACTTATTGCTCGTAATCAAAATCAGAATTAATCCAGGGCGTTTTAAGGAGATTACAGACAATTTTGAAAGTTTTCTCCCTTTAATCAATTAAAGCGCTGATTAAGAAAGAATCTTTTCAATTGTAACTGGTGTTTAATGCAAAAAGCGGAACAAATTAGTTTCGTTCCCTAACTCGCAAGAAGTTGCTAGAATTTACAGGATTTTGCCAGAAGGCGTTCCCGTACTCGGTTCTCTGGCAAAGTAGGGGAAAAATGGGTGAGTAAAATCGGTCCTCTCTTTGTCAGAAGTTGCAAGATTTTAACCGAACAATTTTTGCTGGTAAAATCAGGTAAAGTGTCAAACCGTCAGCTGTTCAAATGATTTCAAATTTGAATAAGCAAAAACAAAAGTGCATCTGCATTGTCACCTTATTAAATACATATATCCTAGCGAAGAAATATCAAGTTTTGTAAGTATTTTTGTTAATTTGCTGGTGTATTTGGGCAATATTTAGTAATCGCCAAATGATAAAAAAACTGCTATGTAAACAAAAAATTACATCCACGGTTCTTGTCTTCAATGTTAAAGTCAACAAAAATCGAATTCGCTTACGCAATGCAAATAATTTGTAACAATGGTAGTTTTAAAAATTGCCAGTAGGTATTCAACCATAAAACCACAAAAAAAAGTTTATTCAAAATTGTGGGTTTTAATAAAAACCGAAGCTAATTTATGAATGTTGTAAATGTTTTAAAGTTCTTTTGGACCTTTAGTTAGTAATTTACCGACCATTGAATTTCGATAGAATATTATATGTACATATATGTATATTAACGTAATATGAATGTTACTTTTTTACTACTGAAATATAGGTTGTCATTTCTTTGGGAATTTTGTGGCATAAATTTTTAATATGTGGGTAATTGAGGGATTTTTTCCCGATTTTCGTGGGTAATTTAACAGAGAATGTCTGGCAAACGAGATTACTAAGAAAAATAGCTGTGACAATTTGTATTTTTTCCAATTTAAATTTTATTTTTTATTTTTGTGTATTTCACATGGCACGCTTTGATTTAGAAGAAAAAAAATCACAATAGTTTTTGACACTTTCGATACCAGAAGAAACAATAAAATAAACGCAAGTGTTGTTTTTGCTTTAATGCTACTATCAGTTTGATATGCCTTGAATATAACTAATATGAAAATTGACACGAGAGAAAAAATCTTGTTTCACTTAATTGAAACGTTTGCATACATATACAACGCACTTGATGGTACAATTGTCACAAACGAAATAAATAATATAAAAAAAACTTTTTAATATACAACGCTTTTATAAATGGACTAAAAAGTAGAAAATAATACTTCTCAGTCCCATAGAATTTGTTTTGATAACTTTTGATTTTGAAATTTTAGCAAAAGTCATTATAAACAAT